GAAAGAAAGAAAGAAAGAAAGAAAGAAAGAAAGAAAGAAAGAAAGAAAGAAATCCTCTTATACACACTCCCAACACAGCCAAGCCACCCCAAACACCTTCTGATTCCTTCTCCCTTCCATTTAGTTGCTTTCCAGGCTTCACTAATAGAGAAAGGATTTTGATAGACTATTCCAGGGGTCTCCAACCTTGGCAACTTTAAGACTTGTGGACTTCAACTCTGGGAATTGAAGACCCCAGTGGTGGGATTCAAAATTTTTTACTACTGGTTCTGTGGGTGTGGCTTGGTGGGCATGGCGTGGCTTGGTGGGTGTGGCAAAGGAAGATTACTGCAAAATCCCATTTCCTTCCCACCCCACTAACCTGCTTTCCAGCTCCATTCTCTGTGCAGGGCACCCAAAGAAGACCCAGCCAATGAGCTGGGACTCGGGAGGCAGAGAATAGATGGGGGCGTGGCCAGTCAGAAGGTGATATTTGCCGGTTCTCTGAACTACTTAAAATTTCTGCTACCGGTTCTCCAGAACTGGTCAGAACCTGCTGGATACCACCTCTGGTCTCCAACAGGATTGCCATTTGCGGTCTTCCCGGCCAGCTTCTAACAAGCAAAGTCAGTGGGGGGGAAGCTGGATTTGTGACTGGCTTAACTGCAGTGATTCACTTAACAACTGCAGCAAAAAAAACCCAAAACATTCATAAAATCAAGTATGTCTCATTTAATCGCCCCTGTCGCTTAGCAATAGCAGTTCTGGTCCCAGTTGTGTTTGTAAGTCAAGGATGAACTGTACCATTTTGTGCAGCCTCCGGGGGGGGGGGGGGGGGGCATCCCCAGGATATGGAAGACCAACCCAAGCTCCCCTCATTCCTACACCGGATGCACCATTATGGCCCCCATCCTGACATTTTTAACCATCCCCTGCAGACATTGTGGCGGTACCTGCTTTTTTTCCTCCCACTCTGTCAATCCATCAAATCTTACTCAACCTCTCCCTAAAGTCTCCCTCTTGCTGAGAAAATGGAATGGGGCTGGTTCATCTTCGGGATGGGGTGGGTGGGGAACAAGGGCAAATGGGACAACCTTAGAATAAAATGCTGGCCTCACATCTACCTTCCCGCCCCCTTCAAAAGCAGCCAGTAAGGAATATAGTTAGCTACGGAGCCAATCTTTACAGTACTGATGCCCACGTGTTGTAGCCTGTCAGCTGCCAGCCCCCTCCAGCAGCCAAATCAGATGCGGAGGCGGCGTGGGAGTCAGGGTCAGCATCAAGGCAACCCGAGAGCTCCTAGGTGGAAGAGGGAATGGAGCTGTCAGAGATAGAGACAGAGGCAGAGCCTGGGTCGTCCGTCAGCCCTCAGATGGAGAGTCAACAGTCCCCAGGTCTGGAGGTGGATGAGGAGGAAAAGGAGGAACAGCTGGGTCCAGTGCCTAATATGTGGACGTGCAGAAGGCAGAGGAGAGGAGAGCAGTGGAAATATTTAGGCTGATCCTTGGGACGGAAGAGCCCATGAGCTAGCAAAGCTGCACTGTAGCTCTGGGGATAAAAGGCAGCGTGCAAAGATGATTAAGTTTGGCAGATAACTATTCATCTACCTGCTGGACAGACAAGAGAGAGGAGGGGGAGGGAAGGAGGGAGGGAGACAGAGACAGGGAGACTTTTTGCCAAGGCTGCTGGTGCTCCTAATAAAGGAATCATTGAGGAATTGTCATGTTTGGGAGCTGAGTCAGAACACCACATAACAAAAATACAGACTCACATAACAAATCACAGGTATCCAGAGGACCTTGTGGGTACAGAGCAGAGTACCTACAGGGGATAAGAGTATATACAGGGCAGGAGGCCAAGTACAGTAAGCAATTTACATAACCCCCATTCATTAGTTTGCTAACACATTGGACAGCCTCTGTCTTTTACCCCAAAACAAGTCGTAGTACAGAAAGTGCAGAACTTAACTACCTCTAGATGATCTTTCATTAAGATTAATTGAATGCAACATTTCGGGATGCTGAGGTGGTGGTGGAATAAGGCAGCTAAGCCAGTTAATTTGCTTCCTGTTTAGTGTTTAGCTGTGGGATGCTGTGTAAACACTGACCAGGAAATCAGAAACCTGTTTTTCCAGTGGCCCCACCTGCCCAGCTGCTATGTCTCCATTTTCAGCGCCTCCATTCTATGATGGAGATGTTTTCTTACCCAACACCTTCAATGTTGCGATGCTCCTGCAGCCAGAAGGCAAAAAAAATAATCACCCATCCTGCCTTGTTTGTTCCCCATTCAGAATCTGAGCTGTGGATTTCTCTGTTGTGCATCCTGGGGCAGGTATACTCTCCTCATCCCAGCTGTCCATTACTGAGGTGAAAAGACTGGGCTCCCACTTCATTTTGGAGCTCCATTTTGTGGTTTTTCTCTCTGTGTTCAAGCACACTTTGGAGTGTGGACCTGTGTCGTATATACCAATGTCCCTGGACTAGAACCATTCATTCAATAGTATATTCAATACTCGAATACAGCTCATCAGTCTGGAACCCACATTACGTATCTGATATTAGCACAGTTGAGAAAGTCCAGAAATATTTCACAAGAAGAATTCTCCACTCCTCTACTCGTTGCAGGATACCTTATGCCACCAGACTTGAAATTCTAGACCCAGAAAACCTTGAATTATGCCGTCTTCGGTCTGATCTAAGTATGGTATATAAAATCATACATTGCGATGACTTACTTGTCAATGAATGCTTCAGCTTCAACCATAACAACACAAGAGCAAACAATAGATACAAACTCAAGGTTAACTGCACCAAACTTGATTGCAGGAAATACGACTTCAGCAACATAGTGGTCAATATCTGGAATACTCTACCTGACTCTGTGGTTTCTTCCCCAAACCCCAAAAACTTTAACCTTAGACTGTCTACTATTGACCTCACTCCTTTCCTAAGAGGTCTGTAGGGGGCGTGCATAAGCGCACCAACGTGCCTACCGTCCCTGTCTTATTGTTTCTTTTATTTTTCTTATATGTACCCATTTCATGTATTCATAACTATGTATATACTTATACCTATTATCTTGTAAGCAATTGACAAATCAAAATAAAGAAAATAAATAAATTTATGCTAAGACTATAAGGTTTTTAGAACTCCTAACCAGCTTTTCCCTCAGAATGTTGGGAACTGTCCCAACATATACAGTATTGTTGTATCATCTTATATGCTTTGCTATTCTTTTTTACTACTTTTTGCTATTTTATTTTGGTATGTAAATATATTTTAAAATTAGTATGCTGCCTAGAGGTATGTGCCATGGCATGCATAAGTATTTTAAACAAATCAATTAATTATTCTCCTCAGTTTGCAAAGTCCAAACAGCTGCTCCCTCTGCTATAGCCATAACTTCAGAATACAATGACTCACCTCTTCCTAAAGTACAGTATACTGATTAGCATTTGGAGTTTTGTAGCAAAACAATGACTTAACTTAATTAATTCTGGTTATAAACTAGCCAAGGAGGCTGGGTTTGTACAACTTGCTAACCCATCAAGGATGCTGAGTAAGCTTAAACCCATCAAGGATACTAAGCAAGCTTTGCATCCCATGCAAATATAGTCTATAACAGGTGTGTCCAACCCATGGCCCATGGGCCACATGTGGCCCTGGACTGCTAGTAATGTGGCCCCTTTTAACATTAGTATATGATTTTATATTATAAAACTATATTATATATATTGGTATGCAACTCAAGACAATTCCTCTTTATTCAACGTAGCACAGGCAAGCCAAAATGTTGGACACCCATGGTTTTAATTTTTGCCTGCTTGGGTTAAGCATGTAATGTGAATCACCCCAAAACTGAAAGTCTAGCGTCTAGACCAGGGGTGTCAAACTCATGTCGTCAAGGAGGCGTCACATGACATATCAGGACTTTTTTCCCCTTCACTGAAATGGGTGTGGGTGTGGCCAGCTCATGATGCATCCAGCCGGCAGGCCGGGAGTTTGACAGCCCTGGTCTAGACATATTTGTCTGGAAGCAAGTCCTTCTGAATTAATTAGCTAGATAATACACCTAATCCAAGTTAATAAAACACAATTACTATTGACAATATATCATGATACATTTCAATCCATAAGGCATTTTATGTTTTAATTTGGTGGAGTGGTTTATATAACACACT